AAGGCCGAAGGGAAGGCGGGGAGAAGGCGGAATGGAAGGCAGGGAGAAGGCGGGAAGGAAGACCACAATTATGGGGAGCAGGAGGAGGAGGAAGACCACAACGCTGAAAAACAGAAAGCCAAACAGGGAGAAACGAACAAAGCATAGGGAGATGAGAGGAAAAAGAGGAGGCACGAAGGAAAGACGACAAAAAAAAAAGGTATGACGTGGTAGGGAAGGTGGTAGGAAGGTCGGGGGAAGGCTACACATCTATCTCCCTCGATCCCTTTCTTACTCGTTGGCTTCCTCCTCGCTCGCTCGCTGGCTCCCTCCTCGGTTGCTCGCTCTATCTCGCCCTCTAGCTTGTTCGTTCCTCACTCTCTCTCCCTCGCCCTCTCTCTGACTCTTTCCCTCTCGGTCCCTCAGTCACTCTCTCTCCTTCTAGGTCACTCGCTCGCTTTCTTCCTTGCTCGCTCACTTACTCTCCCTCCTCGCTCCCTCCTCACTCCCTCCTCGCTCACTCCCTCTTCGCTCCCTCGGAGTCCTCCTAACTCCCTCCTCGCTAGCTCGCTTTCCCTCCGCGCTCGGCAGCTCGCTCTTGCTCTCCCTGCTCGCTTGGCAGCTCACTCTCTCCCTCCTCGCTCACTTCCTCCTTGCTCGCTTCCTTCTCACTCGCTTCCTCCTCGCTCGCTCTCTCTCTCTCGCTCGCTCCTTGCTCTCCCTCGTGCTCGCTCGCTCCTTCCTCTCTCGCTTCCTCCTCGTTCGTTCGCTCCCGCTCGCTCACTTCCTTCCTCGCTCGCTTCCTCCTCGCTCGCTTCCTCGCTCGCTCGCTTTCACTCGCTCTCTTACTCTCGCTCTTGCTCGCTCTCTTAGCCTCACGCTCCCTTACTCTCGCCGCCTCGCTCGATTACTCTTGCTCTCGTTCGCTCGCTTCCTTGCTCGCGCACTCTCGCTCGCTCCTTGCTCGTTTGCTCTCTTTCCCACTCGCTCGCTCGCTCGGCCGTTGAGTCGCTTACGGAAAAAACACAAGTACACGTCAGCTCTCTTTGAAATTCCCGCTCGCAACATTTACTGAGTCGACCATTAGCGCCCCCCCCCCCCCCCCCCCCCCCCCAACCCCAACCACCCCACCACACCAACGGTCACCAACCCCCTCAGTTTTTTTTCTCAACTTTTTGTTGATTGATTGATTGGTTGCCACTCCAAGCACCTACCGACCGAGCGCACACACTCACACACACGCACACGCTCCCCAAAAAAAAAACAGAAAAAAAAAAGGAAATAGTCCTCTTTTATTTTTATTTTTTATTTTATCTGTTGATTAGGGCCGGAGGAAAGACTCGCTGCGTTGGTTAACTCCCTCCGTAGCGCCCCCCCCCCCCCCCCCTCACCCAACCCCAACCACCCCAGCACACCAACGGTGACCAACCCCCTTAAAATCATTGTGACATCGAATTTCTCCTTTGTTGGCTATTTTTGAGGTAGCCTTTTGGAGCGACCGCTCTGCAACTCAGAATAAACTCCAGGTTTGTTCGAGTGCTCCGGGCCCATCAACGTGCAACTTGTACGCTTCTTAAAATATTTCTTAGTAGGACGTTGGTCTTGGGCCTGGATTCGAGGTCGTAGTCCAGGACATCCCAGGTCCTAGACTCTGCGTGGAAGGGATTACCACCCGCACAGAGCCTACTTGCCCTGTCCACCGAGACACACGGCCTAAAGGCTTGAGGTTTCGCAGGGGCCGCACGGCTGTTCCTTCAGCCGCGCAATATCGTGAAGGGGTTGACCCTCACGATACTTCGAGATTGACACTTGAGTGTCATCAGCGGTACTCGGATCCACGAGGGGCCGCTTGATTATGGGCACTACATAGTATGCCATCATTGTGACTACTTGCGTGCACATGCATTGTGAGTCGATATGAGATAGCCCTGCGCCCACGGTTTTACACTAAGTCTCGTGAGTGTCGCCTATCCGATTTCCGTGTCGGAAAGTTATGGGATGGCTATCGAAGGGACTAGGAGTGTTGTCGCGTTGTTGTTATGTTGTTTTGTGTCGTTTCGTGTGTGTGTGTGTTTGTTTTATTTTTATGTTTGTAGTGTGGTGTACACATAGTGAGCGGGATACGTCCTGGTGGACCGACGTCGAATTGCGCCTCGGACTTCAGCCCCCCCCAGTGCGCCGGTTCGCGTGCGGGTCCGATAGAGGCGTGGGACTGCGCGTACCCCCTATGCTACAGCGAACGAGAAACGCCCTCGGCTGGTCTACCTCTACGATTGCAACTGATTAGCTTTCGTACTGTGGACAAGTAGCTCGACGGGGATACGCCCACCGAAGGGAGGTGACAACTCCCGTAAGGTGGAGGTAAGTCCCGCCTTGCGTAGGCCCTATCCTGTCGTAGGGGCTCACGAGATGTATGGCTGGCGCACTCGGTCGGAGCGGCTTGTGGAAGGTCCATATGTATTCGTGACGATGATTAAGACCAACTCCTGCGTGACGCGGCCGGGAGGGTCCCATGCTGCTTCGTGCAGTGCCGGACCGATGCACTGGACAGCGTCACAGACCCCAGAAATTGGACGTTCTAAGCGGGTCATTCATTTCTGCGAGCAAAGGTAGAGGACGAAATCTTAAACTACGAATTAGTTCCCAAATGTTTTCGCACACTTAGTCATTGGAAGAGGTGAGTAAGGGTTGTAAGCGGGATAGAAATGCCACACACAGAGTCATTGGAAGAGGTCATGAGGCGATGTAAGCGGGATAGTAATGATTGTCAGCAAAGCTAAAGGAGGACGCAATTCCAAACTCGAAAAAATTCCTTATATAAGACTCTGAGAACCTTGCCTGCATTGAGCCTGACAACTTCACTGCATCGTACAGTTCCCACTTGCGCAGATGTGAATCTTAGAAATTCTGGTGCATCTTTATCCGTCAATACGGCAGTTGAGCGCGAAATAAAATCAATGCGGCGGGGTAAGGTGTTACATATTTTCAAGGTCTAGCATCCGATGCAACATAAAGGCGAGTGAAAACTCACGCTAAAGGCGCCAACGGTTATTAACGGTCATCACCACATTATATGAGATTGCAACTGGATTCATACCCGTTGTCGACCCCTTTTAGCAAAAAGGTTTGGGCATCGGGAATCACAACAGCAACGACGACGACTGCACATTAAAAGTTTTTGCAACCCTTATAGCGATACGTTAACGTGTCGTGCACCCCTTTTACCGATATGCTAAAGCGTTGAAAATCGCAAAAGACTGAAATCGACCACGTCTACTAATGCTTTGATTGTCCGATAATGGATGTGAAGGTAACGCCATCGTTATTGTGAAGGTACGACAAAGGTTGCTTCTGAATTTAGAAGCGGTAGTCGTAAGAGGTGAGGAGGTATTCTAAGCGAGTCATAAATTCCCTTCAGTTAAGGTATAGGAGGGAATCTTAAACTACGAATTAATTCGCAATCATCCTTTCGCACAGTGAGGTGTCGGAAAAGGTGAGGAGGCGCTTTAAACCACCACTCCCTCCGACAACAGGAAATAGCCCCCCCTGTGAGTTCCGGTGGGTTCTTAGGGATGGCGGTGACCGGAGGCGGAAATACGGGGGGGGGAGGGGGGGGAAGAGGGAGAGAAAGATATATATATATATATATATATATATATATATATATATATATATATATATATAGAGAGAGAGAGAGAGAGAGAGAGAGAGAGAGAGAGAGAGAGAGAGAGGGTCCGAGCTCCTTGCTTTAACCCGGAAAGACATTGACAGATACTAGTTGAACAACGAATCAATTCGCAGTTATCGGTGTCCGACAGAGCATCTTAAGGAAGTGCCAAACAGTCGTTGGCTCGCTGTGCGGATTGCGAAAAGCACTCTCACGGAACCTTGATGCCAGGTTGAAGTTATGTCGTGATCTATTTGGTGACTGAGCACCTTCAAGAAGTGTCATACATTCCTTGGTTGTATGTGCGTATTGCCATTAGCACTCTTAGGGAACGTTGATGATGGGTGTGGATTTGTTTCTCGCAGGTTATCAGTTTTTTGGCAGTCTTTGAAGCCGAAGTCCGCCATTGGGGCTAGTTTGGTGGGTATGTGGTTGACCTTCTTGTTGGACCTGGATCTGTTTGGAGCAGAGTTTTGCATTCCACAAACAAAATTGAACTTCAGGTCCCACAGGTTAGCAGTTGTTGGTAAGTATTTGATGCTCAATCGCAGTTGTTGGGAAGTCGGGCCTAGTCCCGCAATTTGACAGCGGCAACGTGCTTAGAAGAACTCACAAAAAATTCTGAAAATTTTAGGCCTCGTAGATTTGCTCAATGATCGTTCTAGGGAAAATATCAAAAATTTGAAGGAAGCACTTGTGGCATGCCGACCTTGCCAAGATGGAGGTTCCAATTTCACATCCGGCAAGACATGACTCAAATGACAATTTTTTTGGTGATGTATCCATATTTTCGATAAGACAAAAAACCTTTAAATAAAATATCATTTTTTGCGAACTTGCATAAATGATCAGTCTTCCAGTGACAATACAGAAGGTAACAATTTTGGTCAATCATCCATTTTGGCGAACGCCTCATATTGATCCTTCAGTGACAAATAACGTCGAAGCACATGGGTCAAGCACACATAGATTTTGGCGATAGCACAATTGATGATCATTTTGTCGAACTTGCAGTTATGAACAAATTTTTGTTGACGACAGAAAAGGTAATTATTTTGGCAAATTTGTAGACATGAACGATCTTATAACAAATGAATGGCATCCAAAATGCGAATATGTTCGCATTTGTCATACGGAAACAACAGTCAGCATTTAGTGGAGAGTACGAGATGTATTCTGATGATAAAAAAATTAGTAATCATTAAGTGCACCGCTGAATTTTCTGTAGTCCGTAAACAAACAAAGGCAGCACGGCGCTGCCGAAAGTCCTGCGAGGCTGCGAGTAAAGTTGACAGGTTCCCCGAAATGAAGAACCCTTAACAAAATGCTGCAGCATGAGGCTGGCATATTCACATCGGCACCTAAGCATTTACTTGATCAAAACGTCCAGTGCAATCCGCTACCTCATCAAAACAACAGCACAACTTGAACCGGCCGACTGCAAGACCAAGTAGGAACAGATTCGCACTTGTGCTTATGGCCTTTCGAATAAAAAACTTCACGTATTTTAAAAACAGGGGTGTTATTCTGAGTCTTGGAGTATGTCCACCTCAATCCTCAGCCTGATGTTGGAATGTCGCTTTGGGCTATCGAAAATGGTGGCGGATGGCCACGTGCAAGAAAAAAGCAAAGGCGAGCATGAAAACACCGCAGCTCGACTCGTCCGACTGTTGAGGGACACCATGAACAACCACCTTGGGCTCCGGGAGATCCAGTTTTGCTTTTTGACCATATTGACAAACTGCTTCGTCAGCTGAGTCGCTACGCAACTCCATGGCTTCATGAAGTACCATTTCCCGACCGGTACTGAGGAGAGACGCTCGATCACCCTGTTCTTCACCGCAACGGGTGGGCGAAGCCTCATGATCTTTCTGCTTTGGATCCATCTGGATGCCGACCGCCACCTCACTGCCTTCCACCACGGGTTCTCCGCCTTTTTCATCGCCATGAACCCGAGCTTCCACAACGGGTTCTTCTTTGCCTTCCTCATCGCCAAGAAGGCGAGCTTCCATGAACGTCCATTGACCTCCCTTAACGACACCCTCTCGCGTCGTGGCTACGGCCGATCGACTGTGCAGAACCTCTTCGGACGTCTCGGTCACCAGCACTCCTGAGTCGAGCCCCTTCAGCACTTCGCAAGCCGGCCAGTGTTGAATCTCCTCTTCCCGCTGCAGAGCATGCGCTTCCCCCGATGCACCCTCCGAAGTATGACGTTCATGCTCGCTACCCTCGGTCTCCAACACTTTGCGAGACTGCCAGTGTTGAGTCTCCTCTTCCCGCTGTATAGCATGCGCTCCCGGAGAGAGCTCCTCTTCCCCAGGAGCTGCTGTACTCTTGCTCTCAACGTCGACGGATACACCCTCCGAAGCATGATGTTCATACTCGCCACCCCCGGTCTCCAAGACTCCTGCAGCGGGCCCCTCCAGCACTTTGCGAGACTGCTAGTCTCTAGTATCAACATATGAGAACGGTGGTGAGCAGAGGAACACTGTGCCCAACTAAAGATGCGGGGGGTTGGACCTCACATTTTCTTGGCCCCGCGGAACTGTAGCGTGAGGAGCACTGCAAGCGGAAGGCCTGCAGGGCGATGTCAGGAACTCCGAATCTATTCGGAGTTTGAGGCGCTCGCCGGAGCTGAGGGAACTGACGGTCGCACCTTCGCTCCTTCGCAATTCAGGCATCCTGGCCTCCAGGCAAAACGAAGACGCAGTTCCTATCAAGGAATGGTTTTGCCGCTCAGGAGATGCTGCCGTATGCTGCAGACGTTCGCCCTCTTCCAGGAGCAAGGTGTTGTGCACACTGCACAGGAGACCTCGGCTGCGTACGGCGGGACGGACTCTCCTCGGCATCGGGAAACAAAGTCCTTGCAGACAAGTGCGAATCTACTCGCACTTGATAAGACTTTAGGGCGGCCACGTCTCGCATGTCGGAATCCCGACTCCCTACGCAGTGGCCATCAGTTTCCCTATACTCATGACTACCGAACGTTCTACGCTTTCCGCCCCACCCTTTCTGCCCGACCCCTTCCCGCCCGATCCCTTTCTGCCCGACCCCTTTCTAGCCGACCCCTTTCCGCCCGACCCCTTTCCGCCTGACCCCTTTCCGCCGAACGCCTTTTCTCCCGGGGATGTTTTGCCTGACCCCTTTCTGACAAATCGTGAGCCGTCTCCTCCGTCACCTTCGCTGTCTCCTTCGTCTCCTCCTCCATTGCTTCCTGAATGCTGACCACCCGACGGAGGTTGCGGCATGCGTCAGTTAATACCACGAGACGGTGCCGTCTCCAATGCGTAGAAAGACGCTCGAAACTCCAACATTTTGTTGGCGTACAACTCATCTAGCTTGTGGCCTGCGTATGCATTGACGTCCGGCAGGCTCCTGTCGGGGTTCATAACCCTAAAATGCTCCACCAGAGTTCCTCTCGCCTTTTTCTTAAATGGACCCGCTCCCAGTTTGTTCATGCCACTCCACTTGCCATCGGCTTCCTTCATTGCCATGACCCACTTTCTAGTCTTTACAGCAGGTTGGAATTTCCTTGGGTGTCAGACGACGTTGTGGCACCAGACATCCTCCGGCGTGAACCGGTGATGCTTCTCGAAGAAGAAGAGTCTGTCACTCTCCCAAGTATCATGGTCCCCAGGGATCTTGTCACAGGGTTCGTAGTCATAGTCTCTCTCTTCTTCCCCGTCATCAGACGATTGGTCATCGACTGTTTCGCGCTCAAACACACGCTTCAAACCGGCAGGGGACGTGCTATATCTCTGAGGATCACCTTCCTCTTCATCACCAACCTGAGCAACCACCCGAGGAAGTGGCATGGACTCGAAACCGAAGGTTTCAGAGTCGCTCAGCTTCTCCATGTCATTAGCGTCGAAAGGGTCCTCCTCGTCAAACTGCGCCTTGTAGTTTTCGAGGGTCAGCGGTTCGGCCATCAAAAAGAAAATGTGCTCCAGCCTTCTCATGAAATTCGAGATAGACTCCCTGGGTGCATCATGGTAACCATTCAGCACACCGAACACCAGGTTTCTCCGTCTATTGTATTCCAGGTCGGTCTGAGCAGGTGGTCCTGGTTTGAAAAGGAAGTCCCAAACCTCCGTCCTTTTATTCCCCGACAATTTCCAATACATGTCACGTTTGGGATCCCAGTTTCGTTCGCCGGTGGTATGGACAAAAGAGCAATTGTTGCGAGGGTCCCCCACGCGTGTCTTTACGAACTCGTTAAGGTAATCAATCATCTTCGCCTCGTCCTCTAACGCAACGACGTTCCGACCGTTGCGCAGGAGCTCCCACACGATAGACGCATGCGCCTTCCCAAAGAAAAAAACAGTTTGCCCAACTCTGCAAAAGTTCTCGAGTAGACTAATTAGATGAGACGGATTGCGCTCCCTATCCACGTAAGTAGCTCCACGAACATTTGTCACGCCACCGTCCTCCCACTGGCTACGAGGGAACTTGTCCTCGTCTGCCACGTCGAAACAGGCCACAACATGTCCTGATGGTTCCGATGAACAGACAGCTTTTGAGTGGGTCGCCGCCTCGTGTTTGGCCGGACTTGGAGCATGAGCACGGGGAGCCTTCGTTGGACTACTGTCCGGGAAGACTGCGACTGTGTTGTCTGCCAGGTTCTCGCCATTGAAAACCACGTAGAGGCGATCATACTCCTCGACCAGCATATTGCCTTCCCGGAAAGTGGCGTGCCTTTGCGCATGGCGTACCCACTTCCCTGTCCTGACGTGATAAACGCTAAGCCTGGTCATGCCTTTCAAAAATTTGAGCTCCCAACGAGACGGGAAGAAGATCACAAGTGCCCAGTACCTTGGCAACAGTGTTTGGAGAACGCCTTACAAGGAGGCGAAATCGTCTTCTTGCCAGTTTGCAGGAGTGTGGGATCACACAAATCGAGGACGTACAAGTTGCATACGTAAGGTCGCACAATCTCGCGGATCTCCGTGAGACGATTGTGAGCTTGCGAAGGCGGACAACCGAAAGGAATGAGGCTGGTCACCCGGTTGAGGTTGTGCCATTTGATGTGCCTCACATCCCCGCTGACCCTGATCGTGTCTTGGACTTCTTCTTTCATCCGTCGCAAGATGGCACGGACAGACTTCTCGAAAGATTTACGGAACCTGTCATCATCATACATTCTCTTCGTTTCGTTGAGGGACTCCTTCTCGTATGGAAGAGTACGTTTGCAAGTGTTCACGTACTCCACCGCGCCTTGGAAATGCTTCCGCAGTTCAACCCACACCTGCTTCGTGAGGCCCTGCAGCCCCAACTCCGCCAGAAGATGCCCCTCGGTCCGAAAAAAAGGATTCCCGTAGCGCCAAACCTCTGCGTCCTCCTCCGTTTCAATAAACAAGATGTAGTGAAACATGCGAAGCATCATGCGGTCCACTTTCCTGACCGCGACCATGTCTTTAATTCCAGGCTTATGTTGACGTTTTAGATGCCCGCCCGCCGATTGCATGAACACTCCCCTCAGTGTGAGAGCGTCTTCGAGGATCGACAGTTTTTCGGCATCGGTCATGTCGGCGAGAGACTGCCAACAAAAAATGTCCGGCTCCTTCACGACGACGAAAAACTTGTCGTCCGATTGCGTTTTCTTTTTGGTCGGAGGACGGGGGACCCGGACCAGCCACCCCATCTTCGTTTCACCAGCCGCCCCTTTCACGCCCATTTCCGGAATCGCTTGAAGACCCGGAGATTTGTCTGGCATGTATTTGCCCGGCTTTAACAAGGGCGTCTTCCCGTCTCCTCCCAACAACTTTCCGTCGGCCCATTTGTCGTAAACTCCATGCCTTCGCGAAAAACGTCATCACCGGCCGTCATGAGCGACATCCACTGTCTCAATGCATTGCCAATGGCAGCGACGTGCTCCTTGTTGGCGAGCGATGTCGCTTTGCGTGTCATCGTCCAGTGAGCCCCGTTCGGACTCTTTCCCAAAAGCAGCTTTTGGAAGTCGAAGAACGCTTGTTTTTTGGCCTCCTTACCGGAAGAGTTCCCTTAAATGGCCATCGGCCTTCCTCGATTCTCCCATGCCTCCCGCATGTCCTCGAAAGCGGCCTTCTGCGCACGCTGCTTAGACATCTTGTGTCTTAAGTTCTCCGTGAGACTGACCTGCAAATACCACCCAAAGTCTTCGTCGGAGAACCACACAACTCTCGCGGGCCACGAGTGCATCTTCCACAATTCGAATATCTTTTCACCGGCCAACTCCTTCATAGCAGCCACGGTGTGTTGTCCGTTGACAGGGTAATAGAAGTACTTGTCCTCTGGCGTGAAGACATCTTTGTGAACCCTCTCAGCCATCTCCAGCTTATGCGTCACCGACTTGTAAATGGGTGCCAGAACGAAAGGGTTTTTCGTCCAGATCTTCCCCTTTCCTCCTGGAATTGCCTTAGCATCGCACCCTTGATGTCCTCCACACCATCGCGAGTGAGACTGTGGTGATTGTAATATCTCTCCCACGGCGGGATGTCACAGACCTTCCTGGGGTCGATGAGCAGTTGAATGGGAAGCTCCTTCGCCACGATCTCACCATCATCGTTCCGCTCGTATGCGAGCCAAAACGTTGTCGCTTCGTCGTACTGCCTACCGACAACTCATTCGCCACCGCTCGTCTGCTCACCAGTCTTCCTCCTCCGAGGTTTCTTCTGGCCATCGCCTTCTTCAGCTGCCAGTTTCCTTTTGGATTTCTCTGAAGGTTCTCTCGCGGCGGCAGTGCCTAGATGAGCCGAATCTCCTCCACTCATAGCTTGTGCTTCGCGGATGGTCAAACCGTCGGGCCTCCTTGCTTTCTTACTTGTCTTTGCACCCTCTTCCTTCGACCGCCTCTTTTCGACTCCTTGTTCTTGTCCGCCATGCATCCCTGGCGTCCTCTTTCGTGAGGCACGTTCTCCAACATCACCTTCATCCCCCCCAATCATCGGCTTCGAGTGTCCTTTCATCCTCTTCATGCGGCGGGTTTTGTCCGCCACCTCTTCTCGCACCATCCTCTATCGCTCGTGCTTCTTTTCCGAAGAAGTCAGTTCCCTGCCAGAGTTGTCGCGGACAGCGCCCATCCCTTCAGCCTCATTCCCTCCAACCTCTTGCCGTGATCTGCCGGATTCTTTTGTCGTTTCATCTCGAATCGAATACGTGTCACCCCTGGCAGACGACCTTGCGGGTTTTCGGAGTACCGACTCGGTGAGTCCCTGCATGTAGAGAATGCAAGCCAGACTTGTTCCAAGAAGCATCGAGGCCGACCTGCGTCTGAATGTTGCGCGCGTGCCCCTTGCCCTGACCCCCAGCGCCATGAATCGCACTCCCGAGCCCTATTGGCGTCTCAGGGGTTTCTTGAGCTAAGTCGGACGACCACTCATGGGCTGGCAGAAGCCGGAAAACATATTCTCGCGGAAGAACCGGATGTTATTTCGGCACCATCAGCGCGTGATCGAGATATTCCACTGGCGGTGGAAGACGCTTGCTGTTGCCATCGTAAAGCCCTTTGAAGTGACGGCAAAGCGGCATGTTCGAGTCGTACCCGGCGAAACTCTTGATGGGCACTATGACACCCTTCACACCTCTGTAAGGCAGTCTGCAGTGGTCGTAGAAGACGTTAGTGTGCAACTTGAGGAAGCTTCCAGAAATCTTGCCGTACGAAACGATTGTACCGAGAGGAAGAACGTCGTCCGCTCCCTCAGCGTCTGGAAAGCAAGTGGGTCGCACGAAAACAGCTGGCCCAACAAGGTTCCCCTCAGCAACGAAGTCCAAAAACCATTGTGCATCCCTTGTATGGAAATACGGAGGAGTAGATTGCTGAAGAGGTCGTCCCTCCCCGGGGGCAGACGGCCCAGCGCTTGTGGATGTGTTCTTCGCAGACGCCATTTTACTCCCACCCCTAGACTAATACGCCCGACCCCAGACCAAATCGGATGACCGGGAGGAAAGCCACGAGGTTTTTCTAATACTACAGAAGCAAAGTGCGAGCTAACTCGGAGTTGACGAAATGGAGGACGAAAACGACGTAAGAGACGGGTGTTTAAAATGCACACGAAGTCACAACAATTGGGTAAAGGAGAGGAAAGACAACACTCCTCTGGCAGAGTGAGTTCGGAGGAGAGACAACAACTCCTCGAAAAGAGTGCGAACCAACTCGCAGTCCTAGAAACGAGGAAGAGGTGGTTTATCTTCGGGAAAGTGCGACTAACTCGGATTTCAGGGAATGAAGACGTGTACAACAAGTACCGCATGGGTATCGACAAGTGGAAACCAACTCGCAGTTCTGGCGACAAGACAAAACGACGCATGAGATTGATGTTCGAAATGCAAACGAAGTCACAACAATTGGGTAAAGGAGAGGAAAGACAACACTAATGTGGCAGAGTGAGTTCGGAGGAAAGACAACAACTCTTCGGAAAGAGAGCGAACTGACTCGCTGTCCTAGAAATGAGGAAGAGGCGGTTTATGTTCGGGAAAGTGCGAACTGACTCTGAGTTCTTGGGACGAAGACCTCTGCAACATGTACCGCATGGGTATCGACAAGTGCGAACTAACTCGCAGTTCTGGAGACAAGACAACAATTGCAACCCGCAGGTCTGGAAACAAGTAAGTCACGTTTAAGAACATGGTGACTTATCTTGGGGAAAGTGCGAACTAAGTCGGAGTTGTGGAAATGAAGACCTTAAACACGTACGGCATGGGTGTGTACAAGTGCGAACTAACTCCGAGTTTCAGATACGAAGAGCAACAACTCCTCCAGCAGTGTTGGTCGTAAAGTGCGAATTGACTCGCAGTTGTGGAAATAAAGAATTGACTTTAAAGAAAAAGGCGTCTAATCTTGGGGAAACTGCGAATTAACTCGCAGTTGTGGATAAGGTCCGACCTCGCTAGGATGAATGAACAAAACTGGGAATTGATTCGGTTTTCTAGAAGCGGCACTCACGAGTACATATATATATATATATACATATATATATATATATATATATATATATATATATGTCAGGTTGGCGACCTCACAAGGGACAGGTGAGCGAAAACCGGGAATTGATTCGCTGTTCAACAAAAACTGGGTATTGATTCGGGGTTCACCATGCGCACTAACGACTATAAGCTGCGAAGGGAATCAAGCACCTTTATACAAACGATATCATGGCTATGGCGAAAGGCAATCAAGCTACGAAGCGCGGATCGGTTATGGCAGACGGAGGCGGAGGGTGAGGAAAATATATTAGAACACGTGCGGTGGCGAAACAACAAAACCGGGAATTGATTCGGGATTCAACATGCGGCAACTGCAGCGTTATAGCGTGCAAGTAGAGACAGGGCATCTGGGAATCTGTTCGGACATCGGACACACATTAGGACAACTGAAATTATAGCATCTCACCTTCGTCGTGCGTTGCGCGAACGACCAACGTCGGACGGATATGGCTGTACGACGACCGAACCAACTATGGTGGAGGGAAATCGAGCTACGAAGAGGGAACCGGCTATGGCGAATGGAAATCCAGCCACGAAGAGAGAACCGGCTATGGCAAATGGAAATCCAGCTACGAAGAGCGAACCATCTATGGCGAATGAAAATTGAGCTACGGAGAGCGAATCGAACACAATGCGGCAACTGCAGCATTGGCGGAAGGAAGTGGCGGAAGGAGTGAATCGAGCTAGGTAGAGCGAATGAGCTATGGCAGAAGGAGGTGGCGGGTGAAGACAAAATATCAAAACACGCGCGGAAGCGATAGCGCGACTTGACCTGCGGAACGGCAACAAAAGGGATAACACGAGGGCGGCAACGCCTTTTATACTTTCCAGCAGCAGGCCTCGCGTCGGGATCAAGGAGGGGCCGTATCGATTCGCATATCGCACGTCAGGGCCCATAAGACGCCAGGGCCTATAAGACGTTGAGGGCAGCTTGGGCCTCGAAAGGTCAGAGGTACCGGAA